GGGTCTCCCCGGGAGAGGGGAGAGAGACTCAAAAGGAATCTTGGAAAGATGACTCAACTGGCTATTGAACCGCCCAACGGCCGACACCCCCTGAAATCCCCAAAACTCTGGGTGGACTTGAAAATGATCCCACTTATGGGCTCACCACACCTCAGTAAGTGGGTGAGGACAAGGTGCAGAAAAAGGATTGACGGCATCAGGGTATCCGTCCTGGGATCCAACTGCAGTTACCCCTGCCCCCAGTGAAGGTAATACTTGCTACTAGTGTGGGTGGCTAAATCAGAGTAGATCTGATCTAAGCGTCACTAGCATCATTGATTACACAAGAGTTAATCTAGCCAGAAGCAGTCCGTGGTTAACAGGTATGTATACTTCAAATAGAAAGTAACCTGAAACCAACAAAGGTGGCAGATACAACAAAAAACCTTCAAGCAGCCGAGCCTGTTGGCAACAGACCCAACACAATCAGGCATAAGTGTACCCACCAACCGGACTAGCTGGCACACACACACACACACACACTACTACTACTATGTACAACTGCCACAAAATGGCCACGTCGCTCCCAGAAGCGGGAGACAACAGCGAGAAAAAAGAAACAAGGAGAATAATTGAGGTGAAAGGGGACCGTTCTACACATAGCTAGTGTTTCTGTCTTCGGTGGCGGGTGAGGTCCTGCGGGCGGGAGAATCGTTCGTTACATATGCTGCATTGAATGGGCAGATTAGTCCTCTGGTCCTTTCGCAGTCGTTTGCCTCGAGTACAATTATGGCGGTTAAAACCAGCCTGACTCTTCATGCAGCGATCACAGATCGAGCAATGGTGCTGGCAGCAGTCCAAATTCAGGCTGCATCTCGTTGAAACAGCTGGTATTTCGTCCGATGTCTGACGCTCCACACAACGATGAACTGCAAAACCGCCAGCGCTTTGAAACCAGCGGTCACAAACTCCACAGTGACGGGCCCCAGGCTGCTGGGCAACAGGTAAGGACCGTACAGCTGAGCACTTGTGACGGTGAATCCCACGAGCAGTGAATGATCGGTTGCAAACCTTGCAGGTGACTTTGTTGTTGTTACACTCCACGAGATCATCCGGAGTCTTTGCAATTGCCTCGCGCCATGCTGGGCGATCCTGAGCCAAAGTGAGCCAATTCACTATGCCACCGAAACGAAGATCACGTGCGACGAGGTCTTTCCATCGCAGTCGTGGCCCACAGGCTGGGCGTGGATCTGAGAAGAAGCTAAACAGTATCAGCTTCGGAAGCCGGTTATCTGGCATTCTGGCGACATGCCCAAGCCACTGCAGACGGCGGTGTCTGACGGTATCAGATGGCAGTGCCATATCACCCCAGCGCCTTCGCAGCTCCTGGTTGTTGACATGCTGCAGCTGTTGATCGAGCCGGGATACACCCAGAATGAACCTGAGGGAGCGGTGGTGGAAGTTGTTGATGGCAACCATGTCTCTCTTCAGCGGAGTCCAGCACTCACAGGCATAGAGCAATGTGGACAGAACGCAAACATCGTAAAGATGGCGCTTGGTGGCGATAGAAAGGTTTCGGTCAAGAAAGACACGGCGCATAAGGTCGAAAGCTGCCGCTGCCTTACCGAGTCTTCTGGCCACATCTGCAGATGAGCGGGTGTCAGCAGTTATCACAGAGCCAAGATACACAAAGGATTTGACACTTTCGATCTCCTCCGGACCAACAAAGAGCGGAAGGCGGTCAGCACATGATAAATTTGCACCAACGGCCATGAACTTGGTCTTCGCTGTACTCAGAGTCAAGCCGAAGGAAGAAGCAACGTTGCTGAACAGCTCCAAAGCCAGTTGAGCTGACTCACACACACACACACACACGCACACACCAGCGGCGTGCATCGAGTCTTGAAAGGGGGTTTCCAGAGTTTGTAATTTTTTATCTAGAGACCCACTGTATAATATGTAGTTCTGCACATGGGCATCCCCGAACATTCCGTCGGAGATAACAGATAGGGATCAGGGGGGACTCAAGATCAGGGGTGCAGGGCACTAATGTACAATGGTGCTGATGAGATGTGGTGCTCCTCCGATCTCTATTATGCCTGCACAAACGGGTCTGAGAGGGAACCAGGTCCAGGGGTAAAAAGTGCACAGTGCACATCAGATTCTTTGGTCTCTATTACACCAGGCGCTAAGCATTTGGGGGGGGCACATGCACCCCCCCCCTAATATGGGGGCACAGGCGCATGTGAACCCCCCCCCCCCCCCCCCCGCACCCAACCCTAATTTGTTCAACCGTGGTTCGAGAAACGTGCCGATCTTTGTGTCAAACGCCTAACCGGTTTCTTGCGACCGAACCATCGATTGTGTCCTGAAGTGCATATTCATATGATCGGAACTCGGTCAGTTCTCACCCAAATTCAGCCATGAAAAGATCTAGGTGACAACAGAGACACTCAGAAATCGAATCAAACAAATCTGAGGTCTCTCCGATCAAGTTCAATTAAACAAGCGGTGATCGATCGAGAACCTGGAATTTTTGTGACAGCCGGTGAAGGACCACGTTGTTTCCTTCATTTCAGTCTCCCAAATCATTTGAGTGGTTTGAGTGAAAGGGCAATGAACTCAACTGGGGGTGAAATTTTCAAAAATTGAAGCCAATTGCAAGCATGTCAGGGCATTTGGTGTATTTGGTGCCATTTCAATGTAACTACAATGAATGATGTTTTGATTCTGCAACAAGCCAAGAAGACGCAATGATCGGGGACAAAGATTCTTCATTATTCGCCACCTTTGCGTTGAGCTGCAATCATTACTCTTTGATGCAGTGTGCTCCAAAAAACAAAACAAAAACAAAAAACAAAACCGGCCACAAAATTGAGACCGCCCCAGCCGTCCCACTGTGACGGCCTTGATCAGGCCCGTCCTACCGACTATGGAGGTGGGGTGGCCATAGGGTCCGGGGTCCTCCCCTCGGGAAAAACTTCGGAAATTGAAGCCAACTGCAACCATTTCCGGCCATTTCGTGTCATTTCAGTGTAAATGGAATGAAAGACTTTTTGATTTGCAACAAACCAAGAAAACGCTACGATCAGGCCAATCAGGGACAAGGATTCTTCTGTATTCGCCACGTATACCCTGACCTGCGATAATCGCGCTTTGTTGCGGTGTGCTCAAAAAATAAGGCGGCCGTAAAAGGGCGGCGGCCTCAGCCGCCCCAGCCCCCCCCCCCCCCCCTACTGCTGTGACAGTCTTGTTGATAATGTTATGTATTTATGTTCATGGTTTTGTTTTTCCTCCCGAAAGACTCCTCAACTCTTCCACCAACAACAACACCAGTGCCAACTACCCAGGCAACGACTACCCAGGCTTCAACTACCCAGGCATCAAATACCCAGGCAATAACCACCCTGGCTTCAACTACACAGGCAACGACTACCACAGCACCAGCTATGCCATCATCTACTGATATGCAAACAAAACGTACGTGAACATAGTAACACGAATAGTATTTAAAAGATATTAAGTAATCCAGGATCCGAAGAAGACCTCACAGCATTTACTCTTCTCTCTTCGTGCTTGGGCAGACTTCTTGGAGAGTTGATCAGGTTTTCTGTTCACTCGGACAAAAGACCACAATGGTAGGTTCTATGGAGTTGCGCAGAACAAGAGTAAATGCACGGAAATATCTGCGAGTGAAAAATACGTTTTTGGCACTCATTCGCTTTATCGCATTACTTAAATTGTGATCTCCTTGTCGCCTTTTTATATACAATCCCCAAAAATTTCGCAAACCTGCAAAGAGCTCCGCGTCTCGTGTTTGGGGCAAGTTGATAGGCATGATCCCGACTCTTAGAAGATCCTCCCCGTAAGCCCTCAACACTTCACACATTAAGAACCCCCCCAGCATAATGATATTCCATTAACCATGTACTTGAACTTTGTGTTCTATCCCTTCTGTGACTACTGCAGATCCAAAGGTGGAGCCACAGCCTTGGGACTGTAAGTAAATTTGAAAATGTACCAGTGTGTGTGTGTGTCAAGTTTGAGCTAAGAGTGTATTATGTGATGCGGTGAATGCATGTTATTTGGGGCTAAGGGAGCTCTCACACCATATTGTCTTCATTTACAAGCACTTGCCTTACTCACTAGGTTGCTGTGTCATGACTCATAAGCGAAGTAGACTATGTCATCCATTATGATGAAACCATAATGAATGTATGCACATCTACAACAGACAACAGTGCAGAAAGTCTAATGTTGCCATGCCAACCACTGGGATCGTCAGCCTGGTCATGGGTTTTAATACAGTTGTAGAAATTATATAATTATTATCTTCGACATAGCAGACTCAGCGAGTATCTTCGACATATAAACCGTCAGATGACTGAACCAACCTTTGGGAAATCTTACATCTGTGTGAAATCACTTGTCTAGAAGGCCCAGCTGAACAGGTTGCTATGAGCAGATATTTTGGTGTACTGCACAAATGATGCATCAGACTAGAGTTTGACTAGAGTACAGTCCAACACTGCACCCTAGTGGACAGATCTAGCTCTGTGTGCCACTGGCAGATATTGCATATGGCCGAAGTAGTACATTCCAGTGACACACGGAACCCCTCTCTTTGACAGAAGGGAGGAGGGGGGGAATTGTAACATCTCTAAGATTGTGCCATCTACATTCAATACAAGCTTTTTTCGTGTTATTGTTGATTTTACAGTTCATTCCCAAACAATTCAGTTTTATCCTAGTACTACAAGCACAGGAGCTGCTTATATGATCGTGTCTACAAAGCCCCAACACATTTATAATATAACAAGGTGCTCAGTGAGTGATGAATCACATTACAAGTTTTCCATGAACTTCCAGTCAAACCGGATTGAGTTGTTGACTTTGCCTGGTAATCGATACGCATTCCGCCTCAACTACCTTGATTCCAGTAATATCTCCACGCTGTTCCGAGAAGGTGGAAAGTGCGCAAGTGGCAATTGTGTGCTTGATTGTCAATCTGGAAATGGAATCGAGGATAAGGCTTTTGCCACATTTGTGACTGTTGCCTCTACTTCACCAGTGACCAATCAAGAAAACGGTAAGCCGCATACAACTGCTCAGAATATCTATGTACAGCAATTGATGAATAATTGGTGTGGAGACAGTAGTATAATTAGACCAATGAAGAGTATGATGGGTTCCTATGCAACCACACAACATAACGATGTCGTAGTGTTTAATGATAGCTTGCATAGACCTCGGTCAAACCGGTAGAATCATTATACACAGCCACATTGGCGACTTTGATCTGCAATTAGAGTTTGACCGTCATAAATTAAATTAAATTATCTTGTAGGTCCAATCCTGAAACAGTACAAGCTCCGCCACTCGTCGCCTCGTCACACATTCACCAACTAACCGTACCGTATCGTACTGATGAGTAAAGTGACCTCAGACATCGAATTCATTCTCTGTGACCTTATTAGCAATTTGTTATCCTATGTAAAATATTTCGGATATCTGGAAATTAAGATAATCCAAAATATCCAAGCGCGTTAAATGCATGTTGCGGAATGAATGCCCTTTGGCTCTTTCTTTATTACTAAATGCTTCCGAGTGTAACAGTTATGCTACAAGGATTATGTTGTTCTAATAGCCTGAATTGGTATTCAGAAAAACAAGGGACATTTCTCAATGTTTGTTTTCTATGTACAGCCATTGATGCATGCTTGTACGAACATGCCACTGTGTGCACACATACGAGGGATGTATGTGAGGAGAATCCACCAAACTACTTCTATACATGCAAGTGCGCTGTTGATGGCACTCTACAAGATAATGGCATCTGCAAGTGTAAGGAAAAGTCTATCACTCTCTCTATCACTCTACAAACACCGGTTTACACACATTCACCAGCAAATTCCTACCAAATAGTTTACCCTATTAACACACGTGAACAGACATACGCATGACTTTGTATGTGTGATATGCACAAACATGTACATACACACACACACACACACACGCACACGCGCGCACACACACACACACACACACACACACACACACACACACACACACACACACACACACACACACATACACACACGCACACATCAGCGGCGTGCACCAAGTCTTGAAAGGGGGTTTCCAGAGTTTGTAATTTTTTATCTAGAGACTCATTGTATAATATGTAGTTCTGCACATGTGCATCCCCGAACATCCCGTCGGAGATAACAGATAGGGAGGAGGGGGGACTGAAGATCAGGGGTGCAGGGCACTAATGTACAATGGTGCTGATGAGATGTGGGGCTCCTCCGATCTCTATCATGCCTGCACAAACGGGTCAGAGAGGAAACCAGGTCCTGGAGTAGAACGTGCACAGTGCACATCAGATTCTTTGTTCTCTATTACACCAGGCGCTAAGCATTTGGGGGGGGGGGGCACATGCCTCCCCCCCCCCCCCCACTTAATTTGGGGGCACAGGGGCATGTGAACCTCCCCCCCCAACCCTAATTTTTTAAACCGCGGTTCGAGAAACGTGCCGATCTTTGTGTCAAACGCCTACCCGGTTTCTTGCGACCGAACCATCGATTGTGTCCTGCAGTGCATATTCATACGATCGGAACTCGGTCAATTCTCACCCGAATTCAGCCATGAAAAGATCTAGGTGACAACGGAGACACTCAGAAGTCGAATTGAACAAATCTGAGGTCTCTCCGATCAAGTTCAATTAACCCTTTACCGGCAGCCCCATACTTGAATGCGTCAACGTTGACGCATTCGACATGCATACAAAACCATGCCTGGCATGACGGGAAGCATCAGCCCACGGGGATTTCCCGTGGCCCCCACACAGCCAAGGTATGATCCTATCCGTAGCTGAAGAGATCCACGCGTGTCCCATTAATTTCATTGAGAACTGCGCGATCGAAAACTTACGGAAATACACGCGCGCCGACAATGCCGTCCGCCTCCGTCAAAACATCGTCAGGTGCATTTTCTCTTGCGCAGTGAGTTCCTTTCGTCCTTGGATGACTTCTCCGACGAGGACCTAGCAGTCATTCGCTCTGGGACCGACGACAGATAGATAAATACTTCGTTCCAGCCGCCAATGCAAGCGAATTTCAAATTACGGAGCCTGGCGCACGCCAAGTAAATTCTCACGCAAATATGGGGAGCGCCAGCCGCTGAAGACGATGTCGTCGTGATGTACCTGGAAGAATCTGATGGTGCTTATGGTGGGGAAGCCATGGAGAGCGATCCCCGTGTCGACAGTCTCCCAGAGACGGAATTTAGGCCATCGACTTTCTACGTACCTGAGTGACGGCAGCGCAGCGCGGCGTGCGTGCGACCTTACGGAGCTTTCCGACAGCGATTCTGGGTCGATGCTGCTCTCATTTGCGAGCGAGGCATGGCCACTGAAGTTTGTGATGGCTATGGCGTTTGTTTCCGCTCCGAAGTCGACTTGTTTTGGCAGTATCATGTCAATGTCGGAACTCTGACGATTTGCATGTGTACAATTTCCGTGTTGAGACGTAGAGGTGCCAATTTAGCAGCGTATGTGTGTGGTATGAGAAAATAATTTTTTTGCATGGTCAAGAAATAGCACTAGACTTCCAAGAAAACATAACTTGCACATACAAAATGTGGCCTCGTTGTGAGTTATTGGCATCCTTCTAAATGTTATGGATTTCATATACAAAAGTAACTTGCTGGTAAAGGGTTAAACAAGCGGTGATCGATCGAGAACCTGGAATTTTTGTGACAGCCGGTGAAGGACCACGTTGTTTCCTTCATTTCAGTCTCCCAAATCATTTGAGTGGTTTGAGTGAAAGGGCAATGAACTCAGCAGGGGGTGAAAATTTCAAAAATTGAAGCCAATTGCAAGCATGTCTGGGCATTTGGTGTATTTGGTGCCATTTCTATGTAACGACAATGAAAGACGTTTTGATTCTGCAACAAACCAAGAAGACGCTATGATCGGGGACAAAGATTCTTCATTATTCGCCACCTTTGCGCTGAGCTAAATCATTACTCTTTGTTGCAGTGTGCTCCAAAAAAACAAAAAAACAAAACCGGCCACAAAATTGAGACCGCCCCAGCCGGCCCATTGTGGTGGCCTTGATGAGGCCCGTCGTACCGACTATGGAGGTGGGTTGGCCATAGAAGAGGGTCCGGGTTCTCCCCTCGGGAAAAACTTGAGAAATTGAAGCCAACTGCAACCATTTCCGGGTTTTTGGTGTTATTTCAGTGTAAATGAAATGAAAGACTTTTTGATTTGTAACAAACCAAGAAAACGCTACGATCAGGCCAATCAGGGACAAGGATTCTTCTGTATTCGCCACGTATACCCTGACCTGCGATCATCGCGCTTTGTTGCAGTGTGCTCAAAAAATAAGGCGGCCGTAAAAGGGCGGCGGCCTCAGCCGCCCCAGCCCCCCCCCCCCCCCCCCTACTGCTGTGACAGCCTTGTTGATAATGTTATGTATTTATGTTCATGGTTTTGTTCTTCCTCCCGAAAGACTCGTCAACTCTTCCACCAACAACAACACCAGTGCCAACTACCCAGGCAACGACTACCCAGGCTTCAACTACCCAGGCATCAAATACCCAGGCAACAACCACCCTGGCTTCAACTACACAGGCAACGACTACCACAGCACCAGCTATGCCATCATCTACTGATATGCAAACAAAACGTACGTGAACATAGTAACAAAAATCTTTAAAAAATAATAAGAAATCCAGGATCCGAAGCAGACCTCACTGCGTTTACTCCTCTCTCTCTCTCTCTTCGTGCTTGGGCAGACTTCCTGGAGAGTTGATCAGGTTTTCTGTCCACTCGGGCAAAAGACCACAATGGCAGGTTCTATGGAGTTGCGCAGAACAAGAGCAAATGCACGGAAATATCTGCGAGTGAAAAATACGTTTTTGGCATTCGTTCGCTTTATCACATTACTTAAATTGTGATCTCCTTGTCACCTTTTTATATACAAGCCCGAATAATTTCGCAATCCTGCAAAAAGCTCCGCCTCTTGTGTTTGGGGCAAGTTGATAGGGAGGATCCCGACTCTTACAAGATCCTCCCCGTAAGCCCTCAACACTTCACACATTAAGCACACCCCAGCATAATGATATTCCATTAACCATGTACTTGAACTTTGTGTTCTATCCCTTCTGTGACTACTGCAGATCCAAAGGTGGAGCCACAGCCTTGGGACTGTAAGTAAATTTGAAAATGTACCAGTGTGTGTGTGTGTCAAGTTTGAGCTAAGAGTGTATTATGTGATGCGGTGAATGCATGTTATTTGGGGCTAAGGGAGCTCTCACACCATATTGTCTTCATTTACAAGCACTTGCCTTACTCACTAGGTTGCTGTGTCATGACTCATAAGCGAAGTAGACTATGTCATCCATTATGATGAAACCATAATGAATGTATGCACATCTACAACAGACAACAGTGCAGAAAGTCTAATGTTGCCATGCCAACCACTGGGATCGTCAGCCTGGTCATGGGTTTTAATACAGTTGTAGAAATTATATAATTATTATCTTCGACATAGCAGACTCAGCGAGTATCTTCGACATATAAACCGTCAGATGACTGAACCAACCTTTGGGAAATCTTACATCTGTGTGAAATCACTTGTCTAGAAGGCCCAGCTGAACAGGTTGCTATGAGCAGATATTTTGGTGTACTGCACAAATGATGCATCAGACTAGAGTTTGACTAGAGTACAGTCCAACACTGCACCCTAGTGGACAGATCTAGCTCTGTGTGCCACTGGCAGATATTGCATATGGCCGAAGTAGTACATTCCAGTGACACACGGAACCCCTCTCTTTGACAGAAGGGAGGAGGGGGGGAATTGTAACATCTCTAAGATTGTGCCATCTACATTCAATACAAGCTTTTTTCGTGTTATTGTTGATTTTACAGTTCATTCCCAAACAATTCAGTTTTATCCTAGTACTACAAGCACAGGAGCTGCTTATATGATCGTGTCTACAAAGCCCCAACACATTTATAATATAACAAGGTGCTCAGTGAGTGATGAATCACATTACAAGTTTTCCATGAACTTCCAGTCAAACCGGATTGAGTTGTTGACTTTGCCTGGTAATCGATACGCATTCCGCCTCAACTACCTTGATTCCAGTAATATCTCCACGCTGTTCCGAGAAGGTGGAAAGTGCGCAAGTGGCAATTGTGTGCTTGATTGTCAATCTGGAAATGGAATCGAGGATAAGGCTTTTGCCACATTTGTGACTGTTGCCTCTACTTCACCAGTGACCAATCAAGAAAACGGTAAGCCGCATACAACTGCTCAGAATATCTATGTACAGCAATTGATGAATAATTGGTGTGGAGACAGTAGTATAATTAGACCAATGAAGAGTATGATGGGTTCCTATGCAACCACACAACATAACGATGTCGTAGTGTTTAATGATAGCTTGCATAGACCTCGGTCAAACCGGTAGAATCATTATACACAGCCACATTGGCGACTTTGATCTGCAATTAGAGTTTGACCGTCATAAATTAAATTAAATTATCTTGTAGGTCCAATCCTGAAACAGTACAAGCTCCGCCACTCGTCGCCTCGTCACACATTCACCAACTAACCGTACCGTATCGTACTGATGAGTAAAGTGACCTCAGACATCGAATTCATTCTCTGTGACCTTATTAGCAATTTGTTATCCTATGTAAAATATTTCGGATATCTGGAAATTAAGATAATCCAAAATATCCAAGCGCGTTAAATGCATGTTGCGGAATGAATGCCCTTTGGCTCTTTCTTTATTACTAAATGCTTCCGAGTGTAACAGTTATGCTACAAGGATTATGTTGTTCTAATAGCCTGAATTGGTATTCAGAAAAACAAGGGACATTTCTCAATGTTTGTTTTCTATGTACAGCCATTGATGCATGCTTGTACGAACATGCCACTGTGTGCACACATACGAGGGATGTATGTGAGGAGAATCCACCAAACTACTTCTATACATGCAAGTGCGCTGTTGATGGCACTCTACAAGATAATGGCATCTGCAAGTGTAAGGAAAAGTCTATCACTCTCTCTATCACTCTACAAACACCGGTTTACACACATTCACCAGCAAATTCCTACCAAATAGTTTACCCTATTAACACACGTGAACAGACATACGCATGACTTTGTATGTGTGATATGCACAAACATGTACATACACACACACACACACACACGCACACGCGCGCACACACACACACACACACACACACACACACACACACACACACACACACACACACACACACACATACACACACGCACACATCAGCGGCGTGCACCAAGTCTTGAAAGGGGGTTTCCAGAGTTTGTAATTTTTTATCTAGAGACTCATTGTATAATATGTAGTTCTGCACATGTGCATCCCCGAACATCCCGTCGGAGATAACAGATAGGGAGGAGGGGGGACTGAAGATCAGGGGTGCAGGGCACTAATGTACAATGGTGCTGATGAGATGTGGGGCTCCTCCGATCTCTATCATGCCTGCACAAACGGGTCAGAGAGGAAACCAGGTCCTGGAGTAGAACGTGCACAGTGCACATCAGATTCTTTGTTCTCTATTACACCAGGCGCTAAGCATTTGGGGGGGGGGGGCACATGCCTCCCCCCCCCCCCCCCCACTTAATTTGGGGGCACAGGGGCATGTGAACCTCCCCCCCCAACCCTAATTTTTTAAACCGCGGTTCGAGAAACGTGCCGATCTTTGTGTCAAACGCCTACCCGGTTTCTTGCGACCGAACCATCGATTGTGTCCTGCAGTGCATATTCATACGATCGGAACTCGGTCAATTCTCACCCGAATTCAGCCATGAAAAGATCTAGGTGACAACGGAGACACTCAGAAGTCGAATTGAACAAATCTGAGGTCTCTCCGATCAAGTTCAATTAACCCTTTACCGGCAGCCCCATACTTGAATGCGTCAACGTTGACGCATTCGACATGCATACAAAACCATGCCTGGCATGACGGGAAGCATCAGCCCACGGGGATTTCCCGTGGCCCCCACACAGCCAAGGTATGATCCTATCCGTAGCTGAAGAGATCCACGCGTGTCCCATTAATTTCATTGAGAACTGCGCGATCGAAAACTTACGGAAATACACGCGCGCCGACAATGCCGTCCGCCTCCGTCAAAACATCGTCAGGTGCATTTTCTCTTGCGCAGTGAGTTCCTTTCGTCCTTGGATGACTTCTCCGACGAGGACCTAGCAGTCATTCGCTCTGGGACCGACGACAGATAGATAAATACTTCGTTCCAGCCGCCAATGCAAGCGAATTTCAAATTACGGAGCCTGGCGCACGCCAAGTAAATTCTCACGCAAATATGGGGAGCGCCAGCCGCTGAAGACGATGTCGTCGTGATGTACCTGGAAGAATCTGATGGTGCTTATGGTGGGGAAGCCATGGAGAGCGATCCCCGTGTCGACAGTCTCCCAGAGACGGAATTTAGGCCATCGACTTTCTACGTACCTGAGTGACGGCAGCGCAGCGCGGCGTGCGTGCGACCTTACGGAGCTTTCCGACAGCGATTCTGGGTCGATGCTGCTCTCATTTGCGAGCGAGGCATGGCCACTGAAGTTTGTGATGGCTATGGCGTTTGTTTCCGCTCCGAAGTCGACTTGTTTTGGCAGTATCATGTCAATGTCGGAACTCTGACGATTTGCATGTGTACAATTTCCGTGTTGAGACGTAGAGGTGCCAATTTAGCAGCGTATGTGTGTGGTATGAGAAAATAATTTTTTTGCATGGTCAAGAAATAGCACTAGACTTCCAAGAAAACATAACTTGCACATACAAAATGTGGCCTCGTTGTGAGTTATTGGCATCCTTCTAAATGTTATGGATTTCATATACAAAAGTAACTTGCTGGTAAAGGGTTAAACAAGCGGTGATCGATCGAGAACCTGGAATTTTTGTGACAGCCGGTGAAGGACCACGTTGTTTCCTTCATTTCAGTCTCCCAAATCATTTGAGTGGTTTGAGTGAAAGGGCAATGAACTCAGCAGGGGGTGAAAATTTCAAAAATTGAAGCCAATTGCAAGCATGTCTGGGCATTTGGTGTATTTGGTGCCATTTCTATGTAACGACAATGAAAGACGTTTTGATTCTGCAACAAACCAAGAAGACGCTATGATCGGGGACAAAGATTCTTCATTATTCGCCACCTTTGCGCTGAGCTAAATCATTACTCTTTGTTGCAGTGTGCTCCAAAAAAACAAAAAAACAAAACCGGCCACAAAATTGAGACCGCCCCAGCCGGCCCATTGTGGTGGCCTTGATGAGGCCCGTCGTACCGACTATGGAGGTGGGTTGGCCATAGAAGAGGGTCCGGGTTCTCCCCTCGGGAAAAACTTGAGAAATTGAAGCCAACTGCAACCATTTCCGGGTTTTTGGTGTTATTTCAGTGTAAATGAAATGAAAGACTTTTTGATTTGTAACAAACCAAGAAAACGCTACGATCAGGCCAATCAGGGACAAGGATTCTTCTGTATTCGCCACGTATACCCTGACCTGCGATCATCGCGCTTTGTTGCAGTGTGCTCAAAAAATAAGGCGGCCGTAAAAGGGCGGCGGCCTCAGCCGCCCCAGCCCCCCCCCCCCCCCCCTACTGCTGTGACAGCCTTGTTGATAATGTTATGTATTTATGTTCATGGTTTTGTTCTTCCTCCCGAAAGACTCGTCAACTCTTCCACCAACAACAACACCAGTGCCAACTACCCAGGCAACGACTACCCAGGCTTCAACTACCCAGGCATCAAATACCCAGGCAACAACCACCCTGGCTTCAACTACACAGGCAACGACTACCACAGCACCAGCTATGCCATCATCTACTGATATGCAAACAAAACGTACGTGAACATAGTAACAAAAATCTTTAAAAAATAATAAGAAATCCAGGATCCGAAGCAGACCTCACTGCGTTTACTCCTCTCTCTCTCTCTCTTCGTGCTTGGGCAGACTTCCTGGAGAGTTGATCAGGTTTTCTGTCCACTCGGGCAAAAGACCACAATGGCAGGTTCTATGGAGTTGCGCAGAACAAGAGCAAATGCACGGAAATATCTGCGAGTGAAAAATACGTTTTTGGCATTCGTTCGCTTTATCACATTACTTAAATTGTGATCTCCTTGTCACCTTTTTATATACAAGCCCGAATAATTTCGCAATCCTGCAAAAAGCTCCGCCTCTTGTGTTTGGGGCAAGTTGATAGGGAGGATCCCGACTCTTACAAGATCCTCCCCGTAAGCCCTCAACACTTCACACATTAAGCACACCCCAGCATAATGATATTCCATTAACCATGTACTTGAACTTTGTGTTCTATCCCTTCTGTGACTACTGCAGATCCAAAGGTGGAGCCACAGCCTTGGGACTGTAAGTAAATTTGAAAATGTACCAGTGTGTGTGTGTGTCAAGTTTGAGCTAAGAGTGTATTATGTGATGCGGTGAATGCATGTTATTTGGGGCTAAGGGAGCTCTCACACCATATTGTCTTAACTTACAAGCACTTGCCTCACTCACTAGTTTGCTGTGTCATGACTCATAAGCGAAGTAGACTATGTCATCCATTTTGATGAAACCATAATGAATGTACACACATCTACAACAGACAACAGTGCAGAAAGTCTAATGTTGCCATGCCAAGCACTGGGATCTTCAGCCTGGTCATTGGTTTTAATACAGTTATATTATAGTATCTTCGACATAGCAGACTCAGCGAGTATCTTCGACATATAAACCGTCAGATGACTGAACCAACCTTTGGGAAATCTTACTTCTCTACTTCACATCGCTAGAAGGCCCAGCTGAACAGGTTGCTCAGAGCAGATATTTTGGTGTACTGCACAAATGATGCATCACACTACAGTTTGGCTAGAGTACAGTCCAACACTGCACCCTAGTGGACAGATCTAGCTCTGTGTGCCACTGGCAGATATTGCATATGGCCGAAGTAGTACATT